AATATCAAAATAGCCATCTGATAAAATCAGTTTTATAAATTTTTGTCTATGCCAACATGAAGGGGTATGCCTGATGACAAATGAATAGGGTTAGATGGTTTTTCTACATCTAAATCATACACTAATGAATTTTGGCCTGACGAGGACTCACCTGGACCGCCTAGCAATGCATTCACTGCTCGGGTTAAGGCAATATTTGGGTGGATTGTCACTTCATTGTCTGAATCTAAGTCATGGTCCGAAGCTTGATCCACGGGGGGTTCATCCTGCTTTGTTTTTTGTAGTTCTGCCAGCAGGCAGGCCACGATATCTTATTCATCATCATCAGATAGGCAGGACTGCTTAGCTGGCTGTGCGGCTGGGTTAGTTGATTTTCTTTTTGGTGGCATCTTACTGGAAGTAAAACTAAACTGATTGTAATTGATCCATTTTTTTGACTGCAGGCATCTATCTTTAGCTAGATAAATATAAAAAGCATTAAAAACGCCATGGGCTCTACCACCCATGAAAACGCCAAGAAATCCTTTATTAGGAAAATAATTGTGTTCCAAATTAATAAAAACGTATAATACAAGTTGCTAATCAGCAACACATTTATGTGTATTATCATGTTCTGACACAACAACACATTTTAATGTTTAAAAATACAATACTCGATAAGACTTATCGATGCGATAATCACAGCAAAATGCATTTTACATGCACTTGGACAAGTGTCTAGCATATAATAATACTAGTGTGTTCAGCCAATGTTAGATGTTTGGGTTAATCAACCCTAATTGGATATGGAGAAAACATTCCATGTAAGTGATTTACATGCACATGGACAAGTGTCCGGCGTATAATAATACTATGTGAGTCCACCCAATGTAAGATATTTTGGTTAATCAACCTGATTGGATATGGACAGAATATTCCATTTAAAGCATTATCGATGCGCTAATCACAAAATATATTTTACATGCACAAGTACAATTGGCAATCACCATTTCCGGACAATCATCCGGCGTATCTTATCATACATACTCGTGTCCACCCAATTTTTAGAATAAAAGCGACAAATGGCCGCATTAAATAATGGCTGTATAATAATGTATCTAGTAAACCATTAACAAGTGTAGTCTAATGGACTTTCAGAAATATGGGTGGCCAAATTCAATGTAAATGAATTAATAAACTGTTTTGAACCATATAATATATGACCACACATAAATAGATACATAACATACGATGCTGCAGATTAATGGAAAGTGAAATTAAACAATTTGTTTGAATAACAAATCTAACTGAACAATGAGTATGTAAGAAACTTACGTTTCGTGGTGTTTACAAAGTTGTATCCCTTACAAATATAATTGTTCGCCTAAGATTCCTTCCCCATAACGAAATACCAGTATCCGATAAATGGACCCCGTCCTTGCAATATCTAGCTTTGGAAACTGATGCGAAACCTATATTGGGGAAGACGGTGACATCTGAATCTAAGATTGAGTTCACTTTTAATGTTACAAGAGCATTGTGTTCCCGAACCCTGATATTGTATGAGGGAAGTTTTGATTTTTGAAGGGTATTTTTTTCCTTGCCAATGGACCAGCGAATGTCCAAAAATCAGTACTTTTTTAATTTCCATTATCTCTGTATCTGCAGCTCGCGTAAGAAAATGTAAATAATATGGATATGTAAAAATAAAATAATAGGGTTCCATGCATCAGTCACTATATTGCTAATTATTAGCCTAATCATAATACATGATATCCCGTCACTTAAAATAGCTGCTTCTTCTCTTCATCTGGTATTAACTGTGGTCTCTCTTTCAAGACCCTGATGGCTGAACGTGACTTGTTTGAAATCATTTTTCCAAAGAAACCAGCGACATTTCCAAATCTTACTTTGGAAATCAGAAACTCTGAAACATACAGCAAAGTCATATTGAAATGTATAGCTTATATAATATCAAACTGGAAAAAATATTATAACTAGACAACAACAACTTAATCTCTTTGAACTGTACTCACAGCTAAATTGGAAGAATATTATTATTTCAATTAAATTCATAGTTGAAAAAATGCATCTCTGGAACTTGTAAAAGTACACATAAATTTCAAAAGTAATCTTTGAAGATGGCCATAAAAGATAAATATTGACCTTCACATGACCTTGGTGTCAAAAGACCAGAGGCCTCATTATCATCTGGTCGCAACGCAAAATCGCATGCGAATCGCATCGCAAGACATCTCATCGCAAGACATCGCAACGCAACTATTTCCCAAAAATGTTATTATCATTCCATCGCATCGCAAGTCTGACGCAAAGTTATCGATTTTCTGATCGCAACTAAACAAAAAGTTGCGACGACGTTTACCCTGTCGCAAATCAAATCGCAAATCTAGTTCATCTTTGAGCGTTATTTTATCTATGTTAATGGATATTTTGTGGTGTTTTATATCGGTCATTTCACTACCTGTTAAGTATTAATCAATAGTATCGAAGAAATTGTTCAATTTTATTTATTTAATATGATTAAAATATACATTTAATTGAGCCTGTAAATCCTTAAAAATCATGTTTGTTTCTAAATATTGCGAACGCATCACATACTGTATGCGTCTCTTGTATACGTCTTAGATTGGTGCCTGCAATATTTCGTGCTCTTTGGAGCATAGGATTTTCGCCAATTAAATATTTATCTGGCTAATAAAGCTTAATTAATCTTGCCACTACTACACTAATGTTCTGAGTATTCCTAGTGTATATGTACCTCACCTACATCGTCTGCAAAAGTACAAGAACACCAAGATGTTTCATTTCATTCTGGATCACCACAATCGTATTGGCCGAAGAGTATTTCGAGATAGGTTTAACCCACTCGATTCACTAAATGACATATGTGGCATCTTTGTACAGTATTTGAGGTGCTCGTTTTTCTGAATGATCTCTACCATGTTCCCAGATATATATTAAATATCAAAAACATTTTATTTGATCGAGTTTGAATATGAATAGAAACGTTGTTAATTCTACATAATAGAATAAATGCATATCACTGCAAATTACTAAGTTGTTAAATTTAACCTTTAGCGTGCTGCCGGCGGACTCGTCCGCCGAGACTAAAATGTCTCTCACAACTGCCGGCGGACCCGTACGCCCGATTTCAAACTTTTAAAAACTTTACTTTTTCGCGCCATTCGTATTGTCCAATTAGATTGCCCGATTTATTCAGTGCCTAACATGACTTCCTGTTGACCTAGAAATGCGATATTTCGAAAAATAATTCTCAATTCAACAATTTAAACAGTGTTTAAGTCGTTTTTAGTGAACGAATTGTACAAAATGGTGGACAAATACGATCACAACGAAAATGTGGAGGAAATGGATTACGATTTCGAGCTCTTTAGGCTCTTGGAAGCCGATAACGGTCATCGAAAATAGAAGCTAGAATATTTTCTGAATTGAACATTTGATCGCTGCAAATTCAGATTTGGATTCTGACCAGACGAAGAGGCGGAGCGGCGGATTCCGGAGGAGTATTCATGGTATATTTATGCCCAGTCGTGTTAATGTACGAAAAAATTCATGAGAACATTTTTTTCATGAGCCAGGCCACTGTGTCTTCCCTTTGTGAAAATTTTATCCAGATTCATTCAGTAGTTATTGAGATATTAATTATTTAGTCCAGGCATATCATTTTTTGCACTCTTTGAAAAATAAGCCAGTTGCGTGGGATATATTTGCTGAAATAAGGCAGCATGGTAAAGGTTAATAGTTTAAAAATGAAAAAGCACGATTTTCTTTTTTACATAGACATGTACTCTGTATCTGTTGTTCAAGCATCACCCATCGCATTGAAGTTGACTCGTCGGAAAGAGTTAGATTTTCAATTTGAAATGAGAGTTCGTCTCAAAATTGTAGATTTTCACATTTTCATCCCGACCCTGATTCAAACATGATTTGCTTTGATCACAATGCAAAAGATGTGTTTCATATTTTGTTCCAAATGAAAATAAATGCAAAACACTGGAGAAATATTTAAACATATATCGATATGGAACCCACAACTTCCAATTTTCTTGCATGTGTATAAAATGTAAAATATACACCACCAAATAGAAAACTCATTAGCTGTTATCGTTTCATTGTCTGTTGAAAAATTATGTTGACGGATTTTAGATAGAAGCATTGTAAACGACCAAAAGTTCATTTTATTTCAGTTAGTTTCAGTAACATGACAACTTCCCGTTTTAACAGTTATTTATTTTCAGTGATCCACACCAAGTGAACTTATTTTTTCAGCTACCTTTGCCCAGCAACTATCCTGTGACTGTTTTGTTATTTGACAGCTAAGTGGTGCCAAAAGAATATTTGCATCCTTCTCAATGAGAGATACTAATAATTCTTGTTCATCATTTGTCCAATTCCTTGCCCTCGACATGTTTCTTCGACTACCGTCTGTTCAATGTAAATCGATTTGCATTTTGGCGCACTTATGTCTTGCACAAGTGTAATGCATGCGCAACCAATCAAATCATATCAATTATTGGATTTCTATCAATTTCAATCAATCAATGTCAAAAACTAGCACCAGTGTCCTTTTAAACTTCGCGCCAAAATACATTCTAGACTTGCGATCGCAACTTACGTTTTAATTGTTTTGCGATTGCTTTGCGTCTGCGATTGCGTTCAATTGATAATATCACGCATCGCATGCGTTACGAATTGCGATCGCAATCGCATAGCAGACGCAACGCAACTATTTGCGACCAGATGATAATGAGGCCTCTGTTCTATAGGTGCTAGGGTAACCATTGACCTTGATCATGACTTGAGATCTTCAGAAGACCTTGACCAAACTGGACTTGATTTAGTACTTATTAGTATTTGCCTATTTTTAGAGTTTTACATTTGACCTTGGGTCTGACCCCACACGACATTGCCCCTACCCCCACCTGTCATTGCCCCTACCCCCACCTGTCATCATACCAACTTTGGTGACCCTATGTTTACAGTTTCGGAGAAGATAGAATCCGGACATACACACGTACACACAGAATCCATGAATTATAATAAGGATTACATGTAGTATAAAGGAATGTATGAACAAAAAGATTGATTTCTGCCCTTTTTGACAATAAAATGGCCAATTTTTGCAAGGTTGAACTTTCACTTCAATGAAACTTGACCCCTGGTTCACCTTGACGTAACATGGTCAATGTTAACAACTTTACCCTTGAGATGGCCATGACTGTTTTCAAAAGTACTGTATGTGGTTCTACTAAGTGCAATCTCTCTTGTTTTCTTATCCTAATATAATGGAACTTTTTTACCTCTTTGGACAAATTGAAATATGGGGATATTTGGGCAACATAAATTATGATTCAAATAGGAACTAGTATGGTTAGGTATAAAATGATTGTGGTAACAAATAAAAACATATGCACACTTAAGTTCATGTGGCCATTGTTGACAGATGGACAGTCGGTGATTTATAGGGCTCACATGTTGCCAAAAAACATTCACATTTGTGGGTGTCGGTTTATTGTTGCTTGTTTAGAGATTTAAGTGTTTGTTGACTATAAGTTGGAACATAACATATGATATCTAAAGAGTTGTCTAAAGAATCAAATTTTTTATTGTTTGAATCTGTTGAAATGTTATAATTATCTTTACATACTGAATCAAAATGTCTCAACTTTTTCTTGTTTGCACTTTGAATTTGCTCGGAAAAGTCCAGTTTTCGCTTGGATATTTGAGTGAAGATCCTCAATAGCCTTTGAAGTGTTTTTTCGTGCACCTTTTCCTGCTGTATCAATTTCATACAATGTAATTCCTTCAACAGAAAAGGGAGTTTGAGATACAATTGTTTTGTCACCTACACTTTCCACCATTGATCCTGCAGTTAGCCAAATCAATTTTAATATGGAATCTAAGGACCTTGAGATACATGTTGTTGCAGCTCCAAGTTCATATATTGTTCCATCTTCAGATCTACTGTGAGGATCAAATGTATAATAATAAATACAATGGGATTTGGTTTCACGCTTTGCAATGCACATTGTATTACAAGCAGGATGGGTGAGATTTCAAGGCTGTTTTTATGCTATAATCTAATGTGACAGGTGACATATCTGGATGATTCCAATATTCTAGAGTGCCTTGGATTTGAGAATTTTCATGAAGAAATCTTTTATTGTTGAATTTGATGATTTAGGGAAGGTCCAAAAACATCCAAATATCCAATGTCTTTTGGGTGTTCTTTGATGATATCTGAATATAAAATGTTGCCTTCAATTAATACATCATAAATGAATTCAGGTGTCACTTCTCTATCTGGTTCAATTTGAACCTTTATTATGTATATTAATGAGTTGGCCAGGCAACTTTTGCTATATCCTGGTGTTTGATGAAAAATCTCATTGCTCTGACTCCTTGAACCTTGGACAACCATGTGATCTTCCTGTAAAAAATGTCAGATGCAGTGGTATCAGTTGATGTACATGGCAGTGATTTTGTTGGGTTATATCTCCCAGTTTGCCTAACTGAACAAACATTGTCAGAAACATGGTGGTAATCAGACTCAGGGTTATTTGTACATTTTTCACACACACACTTTCTACCTTGTTTACGACTTGATTGCCTATATGAGTTTACAAGAAAACAATGCACAATTTTTTGATTTCTTAATATTCTCATAGATTTCCTCTTGTTTGACTTGAGTCTCATGGTTTTAGCCCTTTCCCGACCCCTTATTTTATTAGCGTAATATTTGTTGTTCAGTTTCGAGATGCTTTGGAGTATTTTATTGTTTTTATCAATGAGGGATCTTATGTCATCCAGTGTTTTGAAAGTACTTTTACATGGATCCTCACAATGAGTAGCATCACAGGGCTGAACTGTAACACTGCATTTCTTTGTTTTCTTCTTCTCCTTCTTATACATTACAGACTCCTCTTGGGATATTTCATACTTTTTGGTCAGTTTTCTTAACATTTTTTCTGATTTTTCCATTGTGCATGGTAACAATGATGCTTTTTCAGCTATGAATGAGTCATCTATTATATCATTCTATATCACCCTATGCAGACAGAGCCTGTGGGAAATATTGGGTGCGGAGCAAATGAGCGGAGGGTGCGGAGCTAACGGTTATTTTTGAATTTAAATTTGGGATATTTCTGAAACTAAGCCGTTTTGGGACTTCAAATATACCAAGATATGTGTATTTGACACCAAATATCAATACAATTTTGAAAATAGTAGCGCAATTCATTCTATAGCGACGCAGTGTGCCTTAAACCTTTCCCAGACCTATATATTTTGAAATTATCCTTTTAATACTGAGTCGCCAGCATTCATAAAAAATGGTGTTCAAGGTGCACTATCTATACAAATTATTTTTGCATCTTGGAAGCCAGGCAGTATCTGTGTGATTTTATAAAAATTCGGAAATTTTTTCAGATATGAGCCCCCTCTAAATATTGGGTGCGGAGCAGCTCCATAAATGTAGCTCCGCACCCAATATTTAGAGGGGCTCATATCTGAAGAACATTTCCGAATTTTTATAAAATCACACAGATACTGCCTGGCTTCCAAGATGCAAAAATAATTTGCATGGGTAGTGTATCTTGAACACCATTTTTTATGAATGCTGGGGACGCAGTATTAAAAGGATAGTCTCAAAATATATAGGTCTGGGAAATGTTTAAGGCATACTGCGTCGCTATAAAATGAATTGCACTACTATTTCACAATTTTATTGATATTTGGTGTCAAATACACATATCTTGGTATATTTGAAGTCCCAAAACGGCTTAGTTTCAGAAATATCCCAATTTTAAATTCAAAAATGACTGTTAGCTCCGCACCCTCCGCTCATTTGCGCCGCACCCAATATTTCCCGCAGGCTCTGTCTGCATAGGGTGTATATCCTTGTTTGTTTTGCAGCATTGTGGATATGTGTAGAATGTGATATGTCAGCCAGGTTTTTATACATAACATTACTTGAACATGCAAATGCAACATCTCACAGTAAAGGTTCATTCAGACACAATGGTTTATGACTCAATGACATTGTGGAATCACCTCCTTTGTCTGATTTTGACATGATAATAGACCTATGGCTTACAATTTCTCATAAAATTGTTTAATTTTTTTTATCAGCCGTGAAGCAGTTCAAAGCTTAAAAATATATCTTTTACAATAACACCATGGAAATGTCTATAGGCGTACAAGATGAAGATGTCGGAATGTGCAAATATACCATGAATTTTATCATACTCTAACAAAGCAAGAAGTGCACATTTTAATGCTCCTTCAATGTTCCTTGGTAAGGTAAGATGATTTGTGGAAATTTTGGATTCTTGCAAATGTGTGACTGTTGCAAGGCTACTCCTTGAAACATTCAAAAATTAGCCTCACTTCACACTCTTCATGCTAGCTTTGGGGATCCATGCACCTCCAATTCATAGTTTTGAAAAATGCGTTTAAATGTGGTGTTTTCTTTGACGTGTCTGTTTAGTCAAGAAATGCATGCGCATATAAGGAAAACATTCAAGGAAAACATACAAAATCTTCTGACTTTATCAAAAAATATGGCTGCCATCTTTTTGTACTTTTGATTAACTTTAATTTCACCTTTATAAAAATTTACGAAGTGAAAAATTCTCTAATTAGGAAATTCATACCTATTGAATGTGGTCTTGGCAGATCCGAAAATGTTTATCACCTTCCTCGCCGATCTTCCCTTAATGGCTCCCCAGAGCTTATCTCTTGTTGCGACAGAAAACTGCAAACAAAACTATTTATTTGTAATGGAAGAATAATCCTCCTAATCAACGATTTAAACAGTATTCGTGGTTACATTTAATAGGGTTCAAGACAATGTTGTTCTTTATAATTATTGCATGATATTTTTGTTATACAACTCTTTAACTATTTTTGGCATAATAATCAAATTACGTTGGTTACTTTTGATACAATAGTGAGGTTAAGCTAGCACTGATTTTCACAACCTAAACATGAACGTAAGTTATTTAAGCGATGCATTTGTGTGGGCAATTGGCCATACGTATAGGTTTGTATTTCGAATTTATGTGCTAGCTTAACCTCACTATTATTGCGTATATTAACATATAATTATGTAGACTTTAATTTCCTGACCAGGGTCACCATTAAGACATCTTTGTGTTTGTTTCCTTGGCCTGTCTCCCCTTCTCCCAAGTCCTTTTAGTAGCGTCATCTTCAATGTTTCAATGGAAGCTTTACTATTCTGCTTCTTTGATAACAGCTAAAGCAAAAACAGACACGCTTGTTATTTGACAGTTTTATAAACTATTAATTAATTGCGGAGGGGTGCATTGTTTTCAAGTATATTCCATTATTTTTATGCTTTAACCTTACCTCACAGTCCATAATTTAGTTCAAGTATAAATTGAGGAAACAGAAATTCTGTTTATGTTTAACATCAGAAGTAAATAACCCGACAGAATGCTTATTCTTTTCGAAGACAATGCTTACATTTGTTTGAATACGGCTTTTGAGGTCCCTCTATTGTTTCTTGAAGACCTTGCTAGCTTCAATGAAGCTAGCATCATTGACCGCAGTATACCTCTTGAGAAGTATCCTCAGCTTTACCTAAAAATAAAACTGGTCAAGCTTGTAGGCGACAACTGTTAGTCTAGGTGCTTTCATTTGAGTCAAAGTGGATGCAATACTAATTCAAGAATTCAAGATACATTTGAATAAATATCTTCTGTCTATTGTCTATGTGTCAGTAAGGCATTGGCATAGATTGATATTAAATCTAGAACGGGCATTAATATGACAAAGCACATTGTCACATTTGTTACAGACTTAGACCACCGAACGTAAAACGTCAAACTCTGAACCTCTGAAAGTAGTTGTTCATGAAAAATCAGACGCTATAGCAATACTAGATTAGTAACTTACAATGACTTCCTCCTTCTCCAAAGGGTCATAAGGATGTTTAGGCAAGACTTCCTTCACCAACTGCTTTATCGCATCCTACAAGTAACTGCTATCTAAGTAAGGTTCACAATGAACAGGGTACGTTGATTTTCCAATTCAATCTGTTGATTAAAGGCACGAGTTAAAGGCTACATTCATGTCATTCGTATTCAATGAAATGAAATCTGTTTTGCATTCAATTGAATTCTAAATGAAATATTATTAACTTCTATTTATATTTGTACAATACAATTTGCAATTATTTGAAATCTGATTGTATAATAAGAATAGGCCATTTGTGTAAACCTCGGATTATCGAGACTGTTATCTTCAGCAAATTAATAAATATTATATTTTTTAGTAAAATTAGACCTTTAGAATACAGCAGTCCGTTTACGTTAACTTAACTTTATTATCTTTAGTGAGTACTGTGATCGTTCGAATAAATTCAATTTCAGCTTAAATCCAATTAATAAGTTAAAAATGAATGTTGAATACTTTCAGTTCAGGAGACAATGGCCAATGGGACACATTTTTCTATCTTTTCAACCTAAATTGGCTATTTTTTAACATATAGAGCTGCATGACAAATAATGTCAAAGTACTCTAACTGTATAACTTAACTGTATAACTTAACATATTGCTTTATCAAACAAAATAGATGACTTACCAGTTTGGCTTAAACTCTACAGGTCCTATTAGAAAGTATTTAGAGATTCTGATAATTGTGAGGAGATACAGAAGAATATATAATGACTCTTATTTAAGCTTATAAGATATATCCAATCTGAAAATGTTAGTATACGTTGCATCTTTAACTAAACATACAGAAGTCATTTTTAGTACATATTTCATGCTGGATGTTACTTAGAATGGAGACACTACAATGTAAATAAACCATAATATTAAGAAATATCCTTGTGACATGTAAAGCAACAAATTCAACTTACTTTTATTGGTAATTTAGTTGTCATTGTTGTAAACATTATCTAAGTCACCTAATTCTGCTAAAAGTACACCAGCATGCATGTCCAACTTATCTGTCAGGACAGAGACAAATTCTAAATATTTAGATTTAGTCTTTCCCTCGACACTGTGCTTGAATTCTTGTATATATATATCTCTTTGAAGTGAGTTGGTAAGGTGTCAATCAGGTCTATGATAAATTTACTGAGTTCAGCTATTGTTTGATTTTCAAGTTTGTTTCTTTCAATATTCTCATTTTCAATTACATAGACAGGGTGTTTAGTATTGATTCTTTGACAAGGAGGAAGACGTAAACGTTTTTCATAAAGTCTCGCTGTTCTCTTTTCTATTACTTTTTCAGTGAAAGATATCAGTCCTCTATATAATTCCTCTCCCTGTAGAGAGGTGAGTTTTGGTCCATATTTGGGTGAAATATTTGCTTTCTCCTCCTCTCCAAGCATCAACAGCCTCTTCTAACTTACCTTGCCTGTCTGATTGTGATGTTGTCTTAATGTCAATCATGTCCATAAAGTTGTTCTTTATCTCTGACAAGTTGTCCTTATTTCCACATACTGTTCGCCACTGTTCCTCGGATGCAACACCACGAGATATCCATTGTTTCACTTCACAGTCGTCTTCTTCAAGACAAAAATCGTAACCTTGACCTTTTGATGTGTGTCAGATTTAGAGAGGGAGATTGTGTTTTTTTGTGAATTCTTTGAGCTCTGGTGGCATGACTTCACTTATGAACGAGTCAATTATATCGATTTCTTGATAACGTGGATGATTTCTGCCATGAAAGAGGAGCCTAGTCATATACTTTCCTGCCTCAACTAGAGCTGCATTGTTCCTCCTTATTCCGCCACGAAAGTTCAAAATAGCCTGAGAATATATACACAACAATTTCATACATGAAACGTTTGTTTGCATTTGAGTTCTTCTCAACATATGATATAAAATCTTCTGGCGATGGGAAATGTGCTGCATCTGCTAGATGATCGCGGACATAGACAACTAGCAACTCTTTTAAGGTTCCAAGGTAAAAAAACGAGCTGAGTTTGCCATGCTTTATGATAATCATGACATTTCTTGGCACTTGCCAAGGCGCTTTCAGACCTCCATCCAAGTTTTTGAGCAAGTTGTAGCATATGTCCCAAAGAAGTTCATCAAGGGATTTGACCAAGTTCATCTCAAAATGTCCATCGCATATTCTAATAAGAAGAACCCAGTCAAATTCTCCGAAAAACTTTTCTTGGAGGAGATGCTTTTCTTCCATGTGTGTATTTAATTCATCTCTTCCATGTAACTCCAAACGGCAATGACTGCATGTGACATAATCAAACACCATCTTCATAATTATTAGAGTATAAGGCAGGCCATCACAACAGATATTTAACCATAATCTATTGTTATTTGGTCGAGTATACCTGTGGCATTTGGTAGATTTCCCAATCTCACTTAAGGAATTAGGGTTTAGGGTTAGGGATTTTTAAAATTGCACAACGCGCATGACGGAAACATTTACAGTACATGTGCACAGGTAAGTAAGTACATTGAATTTCACAGGTAAGTATAGATGTCATGCTAGGATGAGATCACTACAATCGTCAATCAAAATAAACTTCAATTTATGAATATAAATACACATATGGTTTGTAGGTATATGGCTAAATAAAAGTCTCTAGATCATTGTTTTCTACACCTTCAGGTACTTGTTTAGTAGTACTGGATCTTATGGTGTTAAGGGATGTATGAGAAGTTGACTGTTGAGTGTCTGTTGCCTTTTGCTTCAGATGTGCACCACATTTTCTCTTTCTCTTAGGATGTATTTTGTCACAATTAGAACATGTTTAGAAATTTCTTGTCTGAAAGAATTTTCCACCTCAACATCAATGTGATCTTTAACCTTTAGCATGCTACTGGCGAGCGGAGTCACCCGTGCTTAACTATCCCCTGCAACTGCCGGCGATTCCGGTCGACTCAGTTTAAACTCATTTTAAACTTTCAAAAACTTTACTTTTTCCCGCCGTTCTTATGATCCAATTAGATTGCCCGATTTAGTCAGTCCTTACATGGGGACTTCCTGTTGACCTAGAAATGGCCTTCTTTTGTAAAATAATTCTCAATTCAACAATTTAAACAGTGTTTAAGTCGTTTTTAGTGAACAAATCGTACAAAATGGCGGCCAAATACGATCACAACGAAAATGTTGAGGAAATGGATTGCGATTTCGAGCTCTTTAGGCTCTTGGAAGCCGATAATGGTCATCAAAAATAGAAACTAGAATATTTTCTGAAGTGAAAAGATGAACATTCGATCGCTGCAAATTCAGTTTTGGATTCTGACTAGACGTTGAATCTCCCCAGGGACGAAGCGGCAGATTCTGGAGGAGTATTCATGGTATATTTATGCCCAGTCATGTTTATGTACGAAGAAAATTCATGAGAACTTTTTTTTATGAGCCAGACCAGTGTATCTTCCCTTTGTGAAAATTTTCTCCAGATTCATTCAGTAGTTATTGAGATATTGATTATTTAGTACAGGCATATCATTTTTTTGCACTCTGAAAAATAAGTCAGTCGCGTGGGATATATTTGCTGAAATAAGTTAGCATGCAGAAGGTTAATGGTCTGTGTTTCAGTCCCTTGATCTTGCTCATGGACAACCTCTTATAGGAATGTATAGATATATTTATACTCTTCATGATAATGTATTTCTTTGATTTTAATTGTTTCTACTTTCAAGGGATTTTCTACTTTCTCCTTTAAGTTCTGTTAAATTGTACCCATTGCAAAAATGAGTTCCTCATTATCTTCAATTTTCATCCATCTTTTGGGGTGGAGTGACTTATCTTGCTGGACAGTAACTGCAGATGTCACTGATACTGCATTTATATTGGTCACGACTGAACATTTCACTTTATTGTCCGCAGCTATATTCCAACTCCGACCTACAATCTGTTCATTGTCAAATGACACAGTTAAATCCCCAGGTGGACAGGGTGGGGGTTCAGATGACTGCCTGCTATGCCAGTTCTTCAATGTTCAGCCTATGCCACATGGGAGAAGTGTTCCAAGGATGTCACTTGCTAAACGACTTTGTGTAACTGAACTGATGATGAGACTGGTTAGGAAGGACTTTTACCAATGAGACTATCATTTCAATAATAAGAATTATCTTGTCAGGAATTTCCTTGATGTTTCCATCTGTATTACATTTTAAAATGCTATTGGTGTATGATACAATTCCATTATTTCTTAGATGAGAAATTGCATCAGGGCACAAAAATGTTTTTAAATCATCTAAGTCATTATGGACATCTTTCACATAATCAAATATTTCAGTATTGTCATTTCCTGCTAATCCACCGAGATATTCCAGGCATTCGCTTCTTTCTGTGTGAGGGATTCAAATGAGAACATTTTTAAGCAGGCTCAGGCGATCCGTGCTGCTCATGTACATCACATTGTCAACAGAAATACTAACCACAATACAGTATTTCCTCTTCTTGGTAGTTGGCTGATTGATGTCCTTATGGCATACCCAGCAATTATCTGAGTCGGGGGGAAAATTATTTAATGTCAGGTTTGGAAAGTATTTTATATTCTTTTTTCGCTTGTTTTGATCGTCTAAACCGCATACATAAGTTGTAGTGTGAGCTACACATTGAATTTAGATATATACTTAGTTCATCTCTACTGCAATCAATGGCCAATAATTCCTTTAACTCTGTTTCTACATTCTTTTTAGACAGATATTTATCACTCACAACTCCACAAACCCTACAGAGGTTTTTCAGATTCCTTCTGTGTTCCATAGCAATATCTGGAACCAGTAAAACATTGATAAATATGGAGAATCAGATTCCTACAGCAAAAAGACAATAAGTGCAATATATTGGTAAATAAAAATATTTTCAGATATAAATTTATCAATATTTGTAGAAAAACGAGGATTCACTATATCCCTAAATAACTTTATTTGTTTGAATAATCAATCCCCTTAATATTCAATGAAAGGATTGATCTGGGGAAATGACGTCTCACAATGTCCATCAGCATATTGTACATATCCCATCCTTCCCAGCCTCATCAGTCTGAGTTGCTACTGTCTTCTGAATTAGTTGAACTCCTTAAAATTCCCACCTCTTCTCCCCAGTCTTCGCATTGATGAAATAGTACTTGTTCCTTTTCATCGAATAATAGGTCCACCAACCTTCAACATAGCTTGACCACGGAATACATATATAATACAATATAACAGAAAAACCTACGTTTCATCATCCTTGTCAAAGAGTTTGATAACTTAGTGAATATATTTGGAGCTTGTGAACTTCCAAACATCATGCGAGTACATTAAATATGTTTGTTCCCCTATACCTGAGAAAGTCAACTGTAGACCTGCAATATCATAACACAATTAATGAGTTTTTACACCTGTATATGCTCCCCGAAGGTCTACCTTCGCTATGTATCCATTCACTGGTATTAATTAAAATGCACTATCAATGGTTTTATAAACAAATGGATCACAAGATACATAACTATTCATGCTTAAATTCTCAGGACGACTTCCATCATGAATTAATGTCAATGAATTCCCATCATTTTTGATATGCTCCTGGTGCACAATATTAGGTTTACTAGACACAGATATAAGTACCATCCTTTATTTTATGTTATGTCTGTTTCTCTACTAATTCTTTGTATAGGTCTGTTGATTTTTTCTTGGGCACTAAACATCCTTTACTGCTGAGAATTCATCAGTCATTTTAAATCCATCACTTATGTCCTGTAATATATATTCGGTTTCGGCGAAATCTTAGTTTTAAATATATTGGAAATTTGATAAATGGAAATCACAGCATACGTAATGATGATTTTAGACGACTTCCTTGAATTCCCCAGCAAATAAAAAAGATTTTAGTACATAGATTGCTTGTTCAGTGAACTCTGGACTAGTTTTGTCAGTAATCTGTCTTCAGTTTTTGATAAAGGTACTGTTTTATTTTTTTTTTGTGTGATCTGATATTCGGTTTCATGTTGTTTTTTGTTTTTCAGGTGTATTTTGGGTGCTATTGTTTGTCTTTTTGGTGTTGATTGCACTACACAACTCAATTCCAGTCGGACTGCGTACTATTGAAATTAGTTCTCTGTAATTTGATTTGTGATACACCTTCAAGCTGTTAACTTTGAGAAGAAACTGATTCGCTGGATGTACATGTATCATTACTTGTTGATTGCCTCTTGCATTTATTTAGTCCTCCTTGATTCTCTTTATGACTATCGCAAATCGAGCAATCAGACTCTGAGTGAGTGGTGGTGGTGGCCTTACAAATGGTATTATTGGAGTTATAAAAATATCAAGATTTTTGACACTATATTGAAGCTGAGACATTTCTCTTTATAACCGTACCATACTAAAGACAAACTTTAATAAGAAATGTAAAAAATCTACCAATCCTGTAGTTACTTGATACATTAGGCAGTTACTTATCATTGCCATCTTCAACCCAAATAATAATCAGCTTAAACTTCAAAATTATTATTTTCATTCACAAATTCATTTGAACATCAATATATACATTAATATATAAAGCGAGGTTTAACATCAAACATCATGCACTGATTTTGGTGAAGACGCAAAAAAACTGATAAGTGCAAAATTACTGCTTTTGTGCATGTGTGGCTGAGTTGATATCTGAGGTCAGCTGTTTAACTAAGACATCTGATATGTAACTGAATATTTTTTGACATAAGATTGGGTACAGGGTTAAAATTTAGGCTCAAATTGTCGAGAAAAATGTGCAAATTCAACATAGAATCCCAAGAATAGTTATAAGATAAGAATGGAAGAAATATTGGAGCTAAGGTTTGTGGAAGGAATTTAGGGCGTTAACTAGAATAGAATCTAGTTCACTGTATTTGGGTTTCATGTTCTTCCTCTAATAAACAAAATAATAGCAGGATTTGTTTCATATATCTTTACCTTTAGTGACCACAGGTCTTGGCCCAGTGCATTTGCAGCATCTGTGGGACTCATGCACCTTTCTGTAGTGGCATGTAATGTTTAGGGGCGTGGAGAAGGTTCCCCCATACAGCAGGCCTGCTCTCAACTCATGGCACATATCAGCCCCCTGAAAATACACAAAGGCCAAAGTTGGGTATGGAACTACAACAGGACAATTGGTAAACAAGTTCAAAATTTTAGCGTATTGAGAATCAACTGAAGTTGAAAAATAAGATGGAATGTACACCATCTCAAGTAACTTATATTGATATTGTTAGAGGGAGAGTAAACATGAAGGACACAAATGGGTTTAAAATTTTGAAAAGCCCTTGAGAATTTATGATGATCTTTGAGTGGTTATTACAATCTTTAAGTGATAATTAGTCGTAGTGCAACCTTTTTGTGGTAAAAATTCATACGACCCTTTTCTTTAAAAGGTTGCCATTCATACAACTTTTGTTTTGAGGAGGATCTGCAACTCTAATTGTATTGCTTCATTGGAGTCTTATGTTTGACATAATTCACATCCTGCTACCCAACGAGCCACATCTGCCTTGGACCCAACCCAATAGTACTTGTTACGAAAATGACCAAAATGACCGCTATCCAATGCCTCATGAGTGGCTTCTAGAATGAAATTTTGTAGATCTTTTGGCACAACAGTTTGCCAACTTTTTACACCCAAAGCAGTGTCAACCCACTTTCTATACAACATTCCCTTCTCAGGTTTCATTCTGTCCCACTGTGCCCAATATTGCTTCAAGGTAAGTGACTTATTTGAAATTTCAGACCACTCAGGCCTAACGCCATCTGTGAGCCATTTCAACAAAGTTGCTAAAGCAGCATCCTTCTGAAATGATTCATTATATTCCCCAGGAGTAATACAAGGGGCCCAATTTGAACCGGAAACTGTAATATTTTGCAAAAGTGGACACAATCATCTGCCGCCGAGAAGACATCAAGACTTCCAACTTTTAATCCCTCTCCAGGTTCTTTACTTTCAATAACTTGCTTAGAGACTCTACCCAAGTTATTTTGTCTTTCACAGTAAGAGCAATCTTCAAAATGTTCTTCCTCTTTATATGTGATTTATTTCATAGTAAAATAGAATTATTACATACACATGTTACCACTGATTATTTTTTCGGCATTCTGGGTAAATGTTAAGGCGGCCATTTTGGATTTTCTGTCTTAAAATATTGTCTGTCAAGGCTTGTCTACAGGTTTCCAGCCAAACCGTTTGAGGGATTCATTTGAAATTCTCAGGGATTCATTTGAAATTCTCAGGGATGTTTCTACCTATAAAAGTTAAGAACTGATTAGTTTTTCGGCATTCTTGGTAAATGTTAAGGCGGCCATTTTGGATTTTTCGTCCTAAAATCGTGTCTGTGAAGGCTTGTTTTAAAAAATAAAAAAGAATTTCCCATTGAGAGCAATGTTAAATTAAAACATTTTTTTGGGAAATCAGTATATCTTTTACCAGGATTTTTTTCAGGAAAATCTGAATTGTAGAAAAAAAGCTGATACACTATGAAGTATACCTTAAAACGTTTCTCTTGAGGGTTGTTTACAGGTTTCATGGATTCATCCTAAAATTTTAGAGATGTTTCTATAGAACTGATTAGTTTTTATGCAGTCTGGGTAAATGTTAAGGTGGCCATTTTGAATTTTCCATCCCGAAAAGTGTATTCTGTTCAAGGGTGCGATTCTGTTCACCGTGTGGCTTATTTTGTATAGTTATGGGTGTGCATTATGTGGTACTGCCTAGATAACTGAAGAGGGTTTCACAAAGTTTGCATTCCACCTTCGTACCATCATTTTTTTTTCTCAAAAAGTCCCATACTAAACTGGTTTTGGCCTTTTTAATTTTCGTGGCATCCATTATGGAAGCCAACAATAACAGGGGCCCTCATGTTCATCAGGATATTGCTTTTGTACTGCATCCATGCTGTAGACAGATTATCATTGTGCAAGCAAACCGGTCCAAAACCATGATGCTGGGTGATGCAACCCCTTGGAATGGTCAGTCCTGACGATGGGCGGCAGACTTTCTCACTGAGTTTGTCTCTGCATTGAGGCGACTCCTGGCAGCAAACTCTATCAGAGACTTTCTCTTCAACCTGGCAATTCCAACATGTACACCAATCGTCCAAGTTACTTCTCCAGTTTGGGTCGTCATACTCAGGCTGAATTTTCTTCAAAAACATAATATATACTTGGTTTTCTCTCATTCCGACTCTTTTTTTTATTACAACAGGCAGAACTTACGTCACAGAAAGAAGGTTGAGAGAATGCCAGAATTGGAATAAAATATAAAGATTAGATTTTTTGTTTGGATATCAAATTTTATCATCACAAAATACAATTTTAGATTATCATTTTTATTTTTTTTCTACTTTTCACGGCACTACCGAATGCATGGGAGTTAATGCTAAAAACTGTGCAATGACTTCATATATATTTCAGAGCAATGTTTCTGGTAAAGGTCCCAAAAATGTCAAGGGCAATATGCTCTAAATGTCATCATGGGTGATCTTGAACTGGGAGATTTTTGCTTTTGACACTCAATACATTCATCAACCCATCTAGTGATATCGGCCATTTACTGCAAGTTGTCAAATGATAAAGTCAAGAATACCTATCGTCAATCGCAACCATTCTCATAGCTGAAGGTGGTATTTTGCCTCTGAACCCGCCTTTCACGATTAGCATACTTCTCATTGCTATACTGCTGGTAGCATTGGTAGCCTCTACCTCAGCTAAATCCACTGCCTCATAATCTCGTTTTTTGCTGAGACTGACAATTGTTTGTTTTCTTTCCAATGTGATTCACAGTACCAATGTCTTTGGTAGTTTCGGCAATGTTATCCACATATAACTGGTCAGTGTATTTTACATTGACAATTGTCAAGAATGAAACACTCCAAAAATCACACTTCATATGGTAGTAAATATTGACACAATTTAGTTCCTGGTATATGCCACTTTAACTGTCCACCAGTGTGCTATGACATAGCTAGAATCAAAGTCCTTCACTTCAGGGCATTGAGCTGAACTAAAGGAGACAAGTTGAGAGTGTTTGTGGTTATTCTATTTCTGTGCCAAGTTTTAATGTGGAGCATCTGGCTGAAGCAACTTTATTTGAATTCAATAAAAATGAAAAAATTGGCACCTTTCTTTAGTTTATTGATAACTATTTTTATAAATAATAATTATTATTATGATCTTGTTGCTGAACTTTGTTGTACAAATTTATTTTTAGAATGTGAATAATGTAAATACAATTCTTTACAGGTAACTACTTCAATCCAGATCACTCTTCAAGATCATCTTCCACACCCTTGCTCTGCAGTTTTCATATATTTTTTTCTAATACAATTTGTCACACAGGTAGGGATGACCACTTTTCTTTTTTCCCCAGCCTATTTCCATAATAGGACCATGTTACAAAAGTGTGATATGCCAGGAGTCTAGACTAGCTGAAAACACAAAGCAATAGTATATTAATTAAATTGTGTTTAAGTTACCAAGCTATTTTCCGAAATTGGGATGAAGCCATGAATGTAATTGATCTTGATCTTAGATTTCAATAGAATAGCTTTAGAGCTCAAAAGACTAACACTTTTCTAAGGGAAACAGACAAGAATAGGGCAAGTTTAGACATAATGAGGTCAAAGAAATTCTAGGCTTGCTTCAAGACCCTGGACTCTTTATCTATTTTACAACAGATGTAATGACAGAGGTTCTCGGACTGCTATTAATAATTATTCAAGATATCTATCATCTATTTCCATACATCACATTGCTATTGTGTAAACAATAGTAGTTTGATCATAGACCAGACAAAATATTCCCTCACAAATAATCCAAGTGTCACATTGGTATGATAACTTTTTATAGAAATTTAGATTAGGAAAAGTAAGAAAAAAATAATGTTGTAAATAGTAATATAATCATAAATATGTTCAACATAAAAGCAAGAACCACAGAGAAAAACATTTTCTATGAAAAGTAGTGAAGCAATATTATTTCACGGGTATTTCATTTCTTTCTTCTCTTCACCATTGCTTCACCAACTTTCAGCTCCTCCTGCATCTCCTCTTCTAATTTCTCCAGGGGAGACTTCTTGACAAGGACCTTAGGAATCGTATACCCTTTCAGGTTTTGGACCACCACTCTTCTCGGAGACATCTTGATATCTTCCTCTATGTCAGCATGTTTCCTTTTTGTGTGCTTTACAACATCATTTCTCTTCAGGGCATTGTATTCACAAATCCAACAAATGTACCTCACCATCTCCATTTTGTGGACACTTAAGCTTGTGATCGTAAAAGATTTTTCCACATTCACACGTGAAAACAGCCATCTGAAAATACAACAAGATTCCTTACTCATTTGCTGGAATAACCTCTTTTAAAGTTTATTTCATAATTCCTAATTTTATTTAGCAAGACACAACCCGTCCCAGATACGTCTCACACAAACATTCCAGTCGGCTTGTATACAACCATGCACTATTTCACACATTTCACATATATACGCGCCACTCAGCAATCTTCTACAATGCACACTTCTGATCTAACATAAACAGGAACAAGATTCTTCCAATTTAATACACACTCATGAATCTTCTACAGTTCTACACCATAGACCATAGAAATTTCACCACTCTTTACATATATTTACAAAACTTCAGAAGATAAATATATAAGCTTTATTTCATCATTTAAACTTATACACATTTTCAGCTAATATATCCAATCTCCATAATTGTCAGGTTTCCTAACAGTCCATCCTGTTCTTGAAGTCACTACACTTTCTGTCTCGGCATAGTTTGGCTCTCATCTATTTGCATCTCTACTCTGTCATCAATAACATTTCTTCCATTGACAACTGGTTCATCTCCATGGTACTTTTTCAACCTGTCTATATGTACCACCTAAGACATCTGTGTACCAACAATTTTTAATCTGTAATAAACATCGGACATTTTGTCTTCAATCACAAAGGGTCCTTTTCCCTGACATGCTAGTTTGTGTGTCGTTCCTACAGGTATCTCTGGACAAAACAACCCCACTTTGTCATTTTTCTCAAAACTTTTTGGTTTCACACATGAATCATTATTCTTTTTCTGTCTTTCAGCTTATAAACCAGATACATTTCTTGACACGTGTGGAGTGTCGCATGCTTTTCTGCTCACCTTGTCTCACAAAATGTTTTGAATTTCTTTTTTTTAGTGATAATATCGACAGTACTTATTTTATTGTTGACAGTGTCAGTGACAGCTTACACACATCTGCTTCATTTTGGAGAATACTTAAAAAACAACCATACGTCGTTTAACACTTCGAGCTGATCTTTGCTAGAAAATTCAACAAATCTTGCTGCTTTTTAAAATAAGTTTCCATACGTTATAAAAAAATAATCAAAAATATTTAAAAATAAATAAAATTGAACAGAGGAATGGATGGAGGGGGGACTTCTCAATCAATATTGAAAAAATAGCCAAATTCATTGTCTGATATGATGCAAGATGCAGTAACACGGCCTGTTTTGTTTCATAAATGTCATTTAACCTACGTCCTTTCAATGCTCTCTTCCAATATGAAAAGGAATGTCACTACCACTTCAACAGCCTGTCAAAAAGTGCTTTGGTTTTTAGAAGCCTTCCCAATGTCCCATGTTTGGTTGCTCCATTCCCAATAAGAAATTCAATAACAGTTCAGCTGCTTCAGTCTAATAATTTTAGAGGATGGCACTATGTATTGTATTTCATGTTTTAAAGCACTGAAATATCTTGTTTCACTGAATAAGTTGGGAATTCAAAACTAGAAAATTGTTCAAAACATCAGTTTTGGGAGAGTGCATATCCAGGCGCCCTTCCCATGATCCATCATGATTTGCATAAGATGTTTTAGCAATAATCTGAATCCTTGCATACACATTTGTATTCTGGACTAGTCTTTCCATTATGCCATTTGGAAAGAATTTTCGGTAAAATGATAATGGAGTAGAATGTTCCTGGATCTCTTTCTGGGTTTGTACCCTGAACTGTATTCCAGGGGGTCGGTTTGGATGAAACCTTAGGTTGTGTGGAAGTTCATCATCATCATTGTAACTGTGTATCTGTGGAACAGGTGCATCTTGATGTTGCTGTCTCTTGTTTTGGACCCCTTGTATTGGTACTTGTTGATCATCTTGGTCATGCATAGTCATAGAATAATAAATACAGTGACATATAAACCGTAGTAACTACTTTAAGACTAACACACTAAATTATGAGTCAGAAAGTCACCTATTATTGCCCACCAAGGAATTTTGAACAATGGGCTGTAAGTCTAATATTACAGATATTAAAAACACTACAGCGTAATCGCACAATCGTTAATATGGTGGTTTTTTTATTAAACAATGGGTTAAAAGGGCACAACGCCACCAACGTGCAAAAGTCAATGTGCATGATATCTAAAACCATGATATCTGAAACCAAAGAACTGCAAAGAGACTAGGCCAACGGAGAACAGAAGTGCACACCGTATTTGAAAAAGGGGGTGTGTTTTCCAGAAAATACAGATGGCTAGGCAAGCGATGGTGTAGAAGAAGCCCACGCATGTGGGGGTCGAGGGGCATACTCCCCGTGAAAATTTTGTCATTGAAGATATTATTTGGTGCAATCTGAGCGTTTTAAGGACCATAAATACTTTCTGATATGGAATAGTATTTTTTGAAGTTTCATCGAAGAATCTTATCAAAAAAAATTTGGGGGAAGTTAACAGTCTAAGGTATGGCACTTTTCCTCTGCATAATTTAGGTCACAATTTCATGTGGCAACTGTGCCTGACCTCAAGTGACCTCTCTCAGTGTTTATCAAATGTGCCCAACCTAGGTTACATATTAAATCAGTAGGTTAAAGCAAAGTAGGACATTTGGGCACTTTTGCACAGTCCTTAATATTGACATTACAAGTGGATTGTTATTATTATGTAATACTGGGATGCAGATAAAGGTCACCAGTACTGTATCACTCGGAGGATGCGTCAACTCCACCTCATCATTCTCAGCTGGAGCAGCTGATGGAGGGGGTCCGGAATTAAAATCTGTTTATGAATTCATCCTGAAGCCACAAATCAATCTGAGGAGATTTGATGAGATAATTAAAAGGACAAAATTAAAAGCGCCAAATGAGAGATTTCGATTTCAACTTTGGCAGTCTCTTTATGATCATGGATCCCTTTCAATACGATGTGAAGTAGACCCTGGGGTCTTTGATGGGGGTGTGTGAGGGATTGAGTACCCAGGGGGTAAATCAATTTGAATGCCTGATGATGTAAGTCTCCGTGTGCTTTCCTCATATTCTTTTCCCAATTTCCCTTCTGTGGCAATAGGCTGGATATGCTTGACATTATTTGTCATAGCATTGTCTCCATCAAGAAAAATTACATTTCCCTTTTTGTCTTTAACCAACATAAGGTACTCCACGCCAAACTTGGCAGAAAGTTCTAGGCATTTGCCGGGTATAGTTTTAATGCGATCTGATTGCTGCCGTAAGACATTTTTGTATCATTCTTTCTCATTGCTGGTGAGCTGCTGAGATCTAAGCTTTCCTTGCGGGAGTTGGACTTTCCTTGTTTTCACTGAAATGAAGATTATTAAACATTGCTGGAACTATTATTATAAAATAAAATATGGAAAAAATGTTGATATAGGACAAACAATGTACTAGTACATGTAAGTCAGATCATGACAAGTATTTATTGCTATATAAAAGGATTGTAGTTTAATTACTTGGACATGATAAATAACACTAATACAACTCTGACTTTTTTCATGGTTAACACAATCCCCTTTCTGACACCCATGGTTCTAGTATCTACAACTGTTTTTGATGTTTTGAGCATTAACTATCAATTTTTTCTTTAACATGTATTGAAATGACTTCAGTATGAATGAAATGACTTCAGTATGAATGAAATGTCCCTTGGTGTTCTAGTCCTGGAATGTTTTATTGACTCTCAACTGGAAGGGGAGAGGGGTGGACATTAATTCTTTTCACTTCAGATCACGGTTTTGGAATATATAGGGTTTGTTTTTCTTATGACATGTTGACACTTTCTTAACAGTTTTTTATCCTCTTCCTTTGGTATGTGTGCTTACATATTTATCATTTCCTCATCCATTGACTGTCTTCTCAAAGACAATACCAATTTATGCAAGGAGAACCCATAGATTATACAGGGTGAGCCAAAAAAGGGAACCCAAATAATTGTTGATATATCAGTCATCTAGCATGAGTTTTAAGAGGTCATATTTTACACAGTTGAACCTTGTTCAGTGTTCCTTCTTTCAGGTCTGTTTCAATTGGACATGATTTTGTGGCCATTTTGCAAAACATGCTCAAAATACCAGTCTTGTCTCTGGAGACAACTTGAAAGCAACAGGTGATGTTATTGTGACTACACATGTAGTGTCATCTAAGCTATCTTGTTCACTCCATTATAAGGATTTGATAAAGAAATTATGTGTTCCCATCATGTTAATAGCATTACCTGGTCTGTGCAGGATAAAAACATGTCATATCATCCTTTTTACCCAAATCCTCTTCCCAACCCTCAAATAAAAGTAAAACAAAACCAAAATTTTGCTTGACACATACTTGTGTTTCTTTCTTAATCATAAGTTGTAATGAAAAACCACACTTATCACTATATAACAGGTCATATATATTACATACAGTCTTAAAGGCAGAATCAGATCTATGGGGGTGACAAAATTACAAGCAACATGTACAATTGACCTACCAATCTATTCCTTACAATCTCAAATACAATATCAAATACAATATCTCCCAAAAGATTCATGATATGTTATAAATCAGTGAAGTTATAATGGATTAAAAGCACAAAAATGGGTGAAAAATATTTTAATTCTCCCAAATAATAAGAATGGTAACCATTCTTATAGAAAAAACATGTAAAAATCTTTAGTATTCCTGAAATGAAGTGTGCACTTTTGGAATTTTTAGAAAATAGACATGAAAAGGAATGACATAAGCCAGAGATATTCTAAAATTGAAACAATTCTTTGTGAGACTGCTCACTAGATCTGATTCTCTCTTTAATATCCTCAAAATATATATCAAATCGGTAGATACAGAATGTCATCAGTTTCCTAATTCCATAAAATTCATCATTTATAGAATTTATGTTCATTATAACAAAGCCGTAGACAGGTCCAACCTGAATGTTTTCATTGTTTCTACATACATATCAATCACTTTTACTGGGCACAAATCTGAATAGGAACTTCTTTTTATAACATACATGTAAGTAGTGTTTCTCACCTTTACCAGAAACAACCATAGTAATAACACAACCAGCGCGTAGACTGTGTGGAGTTTAACCCTTATAGATTCCAAAAGTTCAAAGTAATGTTTGAATCTGTTGTACCATGTGACACTATATGACAAGCATTCACCTAAAACTACCCCAGATTCCAGAGTTTGAACAAATAGCCCATAGACAGGTCCAACCTGAATGTTTTCATTGTTTCTACATACACATCAATCTCTTTTACTGTTTTGTCATGAAAACATTAAAATAAAGCATAATACAGAGTAACATACTCGCTTTGATAATGTTTCTTTATCTCTACGACTCAATAAAGAAGAATTATGAAAACTAATCAAGAATGGACAATCTTGCACAGGTACTCGTATGAGAACCTCCATATATATAGAGAGAGTAATATGAACTAAGAAACCGTATTACTTAAAATGCAATTAGAATATATTTTCTCATATGACTATCGCAGATACAGCCATCTTTACCCCATGCAAGGTTTTGCCATCTTTCATCCTAAAAAGTCACACATGCAAGATGAGATTTACTTGTGACATCTCTGGTTTATAAAAATCAACAACATGGCAACAGATACATCATTGTTAGGGGTATCCATGCTCATTCTATATAACTAAGCTATGACGTCATAACCATGGAGCTTTGTTGTCGAAGACGAGATAAAGAAACATTATCAAAGTGAGTCACACAGGTACTCATACAAGGTACAGTTACCCATACAAGAACCTCTATATCAGGAGTTTAAAATGAGATAAGGAATTATTGTTTAATGATAACAAAATCATGGAGAATTTAATTAAGTTCATTATATCATGTATTTAATTCAATATACACAATACGCTACACTATTTTAGTCGAGGGTTTCAAGCAAAAAAGTGCTTAGTGCACTTTTGTTACTTTGGAGAAAATCAAGTTTTAAGCTTCAAATACCTTTGTTAAATCAGCAAATTGTTTGATAGTTTTGACTTTTACCCACAGTATAAGTTAAACACTATCATTGAAATGTACCAGTGTAATATTCTTGGAGATTATTATTTAAATAGATAATAACAAATTAGTAATTGGTATCTTTTTGCACGTTCAACAATTTTACTTTTTCCAGTGCAAAAAATACTATACTCAATATATTACTTTTTTTGCAGGAACTGAATTATTAATTCTCAACACTTATCACACAAAAGTACTACTTTAATATGATCTCAAGATTGGATGTTTTATTTATATGTTTTGTTACAAATGAATACCAATCATAATATAAATCATAAGTTTGGATCAATAATTCCCTCATATAGTGTCTTTAGCATCCAATGTTATCAAAATCACTTGGTGAATGTCAATTGTCTTTTGATGCACATAGTTATTTTCACCTCCACTTCAGAGCCTGGAAATATAAAATGAGAGAGCGTTGAATGTATATACTATAATTTGGGAACTTTAACATTAAAGCATTTTACCAGACTGTTCACCATTTAAAAATAATAAAAGTAGAAATTCAAACTAGCAATTTGTCATACGGTACTCCAATTGACAATTACAAATACTTACACCAAAACAGGACCCATGATTTATCTGTCTTCATCAGTATCACTCTCTGTCTCGTAGGCATCGACAGCAGGGAGTCTATTTCTCTTGTTATTGCTCTTCACCCTGATTCTCTGGTAAAAATCATGGTAGTCGGAGGGAATAATACCACTTTTGCACATCGAGATTGGGGTCAACTTTCTTTTTTTCTTTTGAAATTGGCAGCTTTTCCATATATAAGGAGGGAACAGCAGTACCCGCCTCCTTAATTTGCCTACCCCTTGTTGTTGTAGTGAGTTTGATCTCGTGGAAGGTGGGTATATGTTGAGAAGCCACTTGAAATTACGGAAATCATTAAATTTGAGAGGTACAACTGTGTATGGATTTTTTTTTTCCTTGCCATGCGGACTACTATGTCCCAGTTACTTGGGACATAAACTGGTGTTTCGGTTTTAGCTAACTCGATTGCAGAATGCATGGAATCGCATCCCATCTCTGTATGCCCTGTTTCGAGAAATGTTTGGTCAATTACTTTCAACTTTGGGTGGGATGTGGTTTTGAGAGCATGGTGAAAAGCAAGTGCTACAAATTGATTTTTATTTTGCCCTCTGCAAGTGTCGGAAAATGTTGTGAGGTGCTCAGTAATTGCTGGAAGACTCTTTATGTATTGAAAAAGGCAGGTTGCTATCTCATTCGAGCCCCTTTGTCCATTTGTCTCACCCCAGAGATAACAGGTTCCACGGTTGTCGCCAAGTGAGTATACTGAAAAGTTGTAGGAGGCCATTTTCTCTTGGGATACACGTCCACATGGAGTGGCAAGCACTGCCGCCATGTCAAATGTTAGTGTGTTGTGATTTGCCTTTAGCAATTTTTTTATCATTTTGTTTCTCAGCCCTGGCTCTATCCTTTCTCTGGAAGTGTGCAATGTACTCAGATTTCAGTTTCTCATACCCTGGCCCAGGATCTTTACTGCTTTCATCAAAATTAGAACATAATTGGCATTGATCTTTTTGGGCTTATAGAATGCTATGTTGTAATTCTCCTTAAATATTTCTCTATACATGCGTTTGTTGACAGTAGTCTTATTGAATTGTTTGCACTCTTCAACAAACAGTGCATGCATCTTCTTCACATTAAGGCCCAACTCAAGGTATTCCTTGTTTGTGTCTCTCCCCGTATAATGTGAGGCCATCCTTAGAATGGCTTCAGTGTGTCGTCTAACCTCATTTTTAATGCCATCAGGAAGTTTGTAGTGGGTGCCCGTCCTCGTTGTTCTTTTCCTACATATTTCCTGCATTTTATTTGTTTCATAACATTTGTGGCCATTGTTTGAGAGATGGAAAATGTACTCAGAAACATCTTCTTACAAAGTCGTCTTGGAATACTATATAATATGTCTATATGGATATGGCGACAGCTTTTGTGAATGGATGTTGACCCTTTGAAACGCTTATGGACATGGAAACTGGATTTTATCTATCCCACATCATTTGAGACTGAATGCTCCATCTTAACATGTATGAGTACTTGTATCTACAACTATTTTTAAGGTTATGAGTATTGGCTATCAACTTCTAATTTTTTCTTCAAAATGTATTGTAATGACTTCAGTATGAATGAAATGTCCCTTGGTCTTCTGGTCTTTGATTGTGATATTGGTTCTTGAATGGTGGGGGGAAAGGGGGTATTAGACATTGTTTCTTTTCACGTTAGATCAGGGTTTTGGGCTATATGGGTTTTTTTCTTGACTGGTATTCACTTAGAGTTTGCTTTTTCTTGCTAAGTTCCATTACAACTTTTAGTCCTTTCCCTTTGGCACTAGTGCTTATATATTCATACAATCTGAACTCACGGGAGCATGTTCTTTTCAGTCTCTGGGTATGTTTCGCTGCTTTACTAGAGCATAGATAGTAATTTTGTCTAGAATCTGGAATCTAGATAAAAAATGCACTTAGTACTTTTTTGCTTGAAACCCTCGAAGTGTACAATTGTCAAATGAATTTTAATGACAGAATATGTACACAAAACATGTATATCTGCAGCCACAATTAAATGCTGATTGATCATCATCTTTTCTTCACTATTCAAGATGTTGTAAGGGTTCTGTATATACAGTCACAAAAGAGCCAAGGAGATGATCTCTTTCTTGCATGGCCCATTTCAGTTCCAGTAACTCAAGCTCATCCTGGAATAATTTCTTTGGTTCTTAGCTTTACTAAGAGATCTGCTAACCATGCCATGATTTGCTTGGTTTCTTGTATCTGATTGCTGCACTTCTGCTACCTACCTCCAAGATGTATGGCTTTTTAAAGTCTGCAAAGGCAGTATTGGTGCATTGATGATTACATCTTTCACCATGCCAAATGCACTGTGACAATTTGTGTCAAAGATGTCCTTTTGGCTTTCTGTTTACCAACAGTTTGTTGGTTGCATGTAATAGACAGTCAATTTTTGTAGTCCTTCACAAATCGTCTGAATAAATAATGTGACCCAGAAACCTTATGGAGATATTAAATACTTTTTGGAAATGGTCAGTTATTATTTTCTTGATTCATCTGGTGTAATCACACATCTAAAACCATTGTGAGTTGGGTGAAGGGGAGGAACACAATGGTAACCGCATAACATGCACAAAAGTTCAGTCAGTCATATAATATCTTTATTCGCAGAAATCCCTAGTCTCAATTAGAAATTCCTTGCCTGAAGTAGAAACCTTAGCATGAAGTCCTAGGGACTACATGTAGTCTAATGAAGGCTACTTGAATCTGAAAACTTCAGGAACCCCACTTAAATGACTTCTATTGAAAAGTACTGTGTATCACATGAAATATGGAACCTATTCATTCAGGATGTTGCACCTAGCCTGTCACATTCAAAAGATGACCATCACATTGACTTTTTGGTTTTAAGGTTCAAGAGAAAAACATGTGTTCAGCTACCAATCATTTAAAAAGAAAAACCTTTATTGTATTTTTAATGGATTTTATCCATTATCTATCTATGTGAAATTAAGATACATCATGATTCAGTTGCTAATGATCGCTTGGGTTTCAAAATGATAAACTTTCAACACTTTCCACATTTAAAGTATTTTCATGCAATTAAAGCCCGTAAATATTTCTCCAACAAGAATCCTCTTTCCATGCAACAATTTCCTGGAACCATTAAACCAGGCTGGACATTAATTAAGAATTAAGCTAATCACAGGGTGAGGATGATGTATCTGTTATACTTTTGTCACAAAAGCACAACAGTGTACATGTATATACAACTATAAATCCAGTTGACCTGTCTTTAATGAGTCCTTTGCTAATGTTGATCTCATGTTCGGAAACATGCCTGGATTTCAAAGCAGTAGTCTAGAAGTTGTACATTTGGCCTAAGCAAAAACATTATTGCCATTTTGAATGCTTGCAACACTTCTTTTTACAGGAGTGGTAACTATTGAATTGAAACATGGTTTTGTTGTTTCTTTATTATAGGGTATGAGAATCCGAGAGATAATCAAATGTTTTTAAGTTGTACTAAAACCAATTTCAGAATCTCTTATCTAGTATTTAGCACAAATAACATCCCTTTTGTTATTTTGACTACAAAGCTTGTGATATTTCCCCACACAACACGATTTATTAAGATAAGACTGTCAACCTCTGAAATGATATTATTTTTTGCACTTTTTGAGGTCACCTGACCATGACAGTTTTGATGTATCTAAGTCTAATGAACTTTTTCTTTAGTTGAAGACATTCAATCAAAGGCCACTTGTTACACCGGAATGATCATGCATAACGTATTGAGCTCACTAGATGATCATTCCGGTGGAACATGCGTCTTCAAGTGGAGAAATAGTTTAATAATTTAAAGATATTTGAACAGTATTGACCTGCTCAGTTCATGTAGAACTAAAATACTCGTACCTGACAAGTGAAATCGGTTCTATTTATTGAGATGCATTCTGATTGCTGCATTCTGATTGGTTGAGAAACCCAATTCGAGAATGGTTATGTAATGTTTAAATTGTTTTTAAAGCCAAACATCTGAAAAAGGAAACTAATCTTAAACATGGTCCACTGTATACTATATAACCTGTAATACAATAGTATACTTATAATAGAAATAGTTATATAATTCAATTTGTACCTTATCATGATGGACTCCTGCTCCAGTGAAGAAATATCAGTTGCTCCATCCACTGTTAGGGCAATGAATGAAGCAACTGATATTTCGCTCCTGAGGTCCATCAATTTCGATCGAGCAATATATCTAATGAATGTTTTACAATATTGGGGAGTCAGGTACGTTTCTCCAATGTCTATGCCTTATCTAAGTCACACAGCCATGCGTAGTCGCCAAAGCTTTTCCTCATTTTGCCAATGGCATGGGCATTGCGAAATTTTACATCCAGTTTTTTGAGTTCATATTGAGTGAGTGATTTGATGATTTTTCCCCTGGGGCATCCTCTGGCTTATCGACAGTGTTTCTGTGAATCATATCGGCTTTCAAATGTGCCATCCCCTGGTGAGATTGAATGGATTCGAGTTTCATCGATCTGCAACCGATTATAAAGGTTCTCTTTTTGATAAGCTGCACTATTTTAGGTTCATATTGGATGCAGTATGAACACTTCATCAGTCCCCCTTCATGTATAGTTAGGGTCTACCTACTCTCCATGAATTTAAAAATCCACGGGCCTTGTGGGGAATGCTGGCTTTGGGCACATGGTTTTTAGTGGCAGTGGGTTGATTGGTCACAGGCACAATCTGAGGCTCCTGAGACCCCTGAGGACTCTGTGTTCTGAGGACTCTGTGTTCTGAGGACCTGAGGACTCTTGTGTTCTGAGGACCTGAGGACTCTGTGTTCTGAGGACTCTGTGTTCTGAGGACCTGAGGACTCTGTGTTCTGAGGACCTGAGGACTCTGTGTTCTGAGGACCTGAGGACTCTGTGTTCTGAGGACCTGAGGACTCTGTGTTCTGAGGACTCTGTGTTCTGAGGACTCTGTGTTCTGAGGACTCTGTGTTCTGAGGACCCGAGGATTATGTGAAGCTTTCCCTGATGATCGTGGCCTTGCCTTGGCCGTGGCCTTTTTTGTTGTTGAAGGTCCTGGTAGACTGGCATCATGATCCAAATCTACAACATAAGTTAGATTGATGTATAGAAAAAAAACTATTGTAGTAGTCTAGTAGAACCCCTGCCCTGGCCCCAAATATTCCATTCATAAATACTAATAAGCGCGTAGTAATATTAAGACAACTTGACCATAAGCAGTCGTACTGATAGTTTACGCCGATATTGCTCGTGAATAAATAGTTCCGATATAAAATATCGTGGAAAGGGTTCCCCAATTTCGGTTTCGAAGTTGGTAATTGAGTATTTATCAGGAGGGGTAAGTATAACAATTTACCTACTCTAATCTAGTTTGGAGAGGCTGTCATGAGATATATGAAGCGACAGCAAAAATGTTCCCCACTTCGCAAATGGATTACTCATCAAGACTGTACACCATCTGTCATAACAACCGGAACTACTTTATAATTTATGCAGTGACGTAGTTACTCTGGTCCTTACAGGGTGGGCCAAAAAAAAGTTCACCCTTTTTCATTTTAATCTCATTTTTTTTATTTTTGATGCAATCCCTTTGATATGTAGATAACTGAGACATTTCTAAACAAGGTCGATATATAACATTAGGAGTGTCTTTGGCTGTTTTGTTTTTAACCTTCTGCACTCTGACTTATTTCAGCAAATATATCCCACGCATCTGACTTATTTTTCAAAAATGATATGCCTGGACTAAATAATTAATATCTCAATAACTACTGAATGAATCTGGATAAAATTTTCACAAAGGGAAGATACACTAGCGTGGCTCATGAGAAAAATGTTCTCATGATTTTTTTTCGTACATAAACACGACTGGGCATAAATATACCATGAATACTCCTCCGAAATCCGCCGTTTCGCCCCTCGGGAGATTCAACGTCTGGTCAGAATCCAAAACTGAATTTGCAGCGATCAAATGTTCTTCTTTTCAGTTCAGAAAATATTCTAGTTTCTATTTTCGATGACCATTATCGGCTTCCAAGAGCCTAAAGAGCTCGAAATCGCAATCCATTTCCTCCACATTTTCGTTGTGATCGTATTTGGCCGTCATTTTGTACGATTTGTTCACTAAAAACGACTTAAACACTGTTTAAATTGTTGAATTAAGAAATATTTTTCGAAACATCGCCATTTCTAGGTCAACAGGAAGTCACTTACTAAGGACTGAATAAATCAGGCAATCTAATTGGATCATAAGAACGGCGGGAAAAAGTAAAGTTTTCAAAAGTTAGATTTGTGTCGTCCAGATCCGCCGGTGGATTCTGGCGGTAGTTTTGAATGGGCGGACGCGGCCGCCGGTGGTCTGCTAAAGGTTAAAGTAAATGTTCAATATGTCCTCCTTGTTCCTGCACAACCAGTTTTAGTCTATGACGCCATTTATTTATTGCCGCGTTAATTGATTGTTGTGATAGTTGTTCCCAACATAAAGTTATTCTTTGTTGGAGTTCTTGAACTGAATGGATGGGAACACTATGAACATGTTTTTCTAGTTCACCCCACACAAAATAATCCATAACATTGAGATCAGGGCTATTTGGGGGCCATAAGTCAGGGGGGATAAAATCAGTTTGAACTCAACTCTTAAGGGGTGCCCAATGACTCTGAGCTTGGAATAAAATCACCAGTATTAGTATTCCCAACTCTGAGTACCCCTTTTCCCTGCACTATAAAGCATGAACAGAATTAAAATGGCATCTTGTACAAATTATATTATGTAGAATTTAATAACTTATTCATTTGTAATTATATCATAAGTGTATTACATAAAACCATCAAATTATTATCAATATTGTGAACGTAAAAATGAGGAAAATTGGATAAAACCATGGATTTTCAGTAACTTGTTGACCAACTCATCTATGGTAGTATTGGGTGTTTATAAGAGAGTTTTTTTTTTTTTTTGAAAACGCTTTTAGAGCAGCGGCACTCAATCGGTGCATCCAATACATCATATATAAAATATAAATGGGATAAAACATATCATGCAAAAGGCCACTAAAAACATGCATACGACTATTGTGTGCACTGTACATGTATTTTCTTTAAAAACAATTTGACATATTTGTCAAACTTCACGTAATTATCATGTCCCCACAAGATTAAAGTGTCATCTCCCAGAGCCCAACATGTTTTTAGTTGTACACTTCCTGCTAGAAAGTCAGAGGAGAGTTGGTGGTTGCAGTTTGACACAACATTATTGAAAAATACATTCCTATCACTACCAAAGTAGGGAGTACTTAATTGTTTAAAGAGGTGTTTATCATCAACTCTGACTATTAATTAACACTCTACTTTGTAATATTTTGCATTAACTGACATAAAAATTATATTTACCATGATAACTTCTTTTCAAATTTCCTTCCTTTTTTGAAATCCGCCATTTTGTAAATGAAGTGAATTTCTGTTGTTTTTTTCATGACACACAATAAATATATTTTAGGTGTCATGACAACACTGTTGCATAAATTTCACTCAAATCCTAACAACATGTACAGAAATGTCTGAGCTATATACATATCAATTTTTAGAGGCATTGCATCAAAAATAAGAAAGTTAGATTAAAATGAAAAAGGGTGAACTTTTTTTTGGCCCACCCTGTATATGGAGATTGGGGACCCCCAGCAACATTGCTTTTTAATTTAATAGGTTAACCCCCTATTTTATTATTTTTATATATTGAAGAAGGAAGTGTAATATTCTTCGGAGGGCGGGTGATAGCATACTGGCAAAGCCAATTACCAGATTTTTTTTACTACGTTCGTAGTATCATTGAATTTCATAGTACTAGTATAATTCTCTCTTTCTCGCCGTGTTCTCGCCAATTTCACCCCTGAAACTGTACTAGACATGTAGGCAAGTGTTTTTTTTCATCTGTTCCCGCCATTTGAGATCTGTTCTCGCCATTTGAGATCTGTTCCCGCCATTTGAGATCTGTAATCGTTCCCGCCATTTGAGATCTGTAATCGTTCCCGCCATTTGAGATCTGTAATCAGTGTCACAACAGATCAGTGTCACAACAGATCAGTGTCACGGCTGTGATTAATGGAAGGGGTGTTCATTTGTGTGTTCCGGCAATAACTCAAATAATTGATGTCGGATCTATTTCAAATTTTATTGGCAAGAATTTTCAATATGGACATTCAATTCAAATCGGCTGTCAAAATGTAATCTTTGATAACTCAAAAAAAAATTCAATATCGCACCCTTGAACAGAAGATAAAGAAGTGTTAATACACGAAAGTTCGTCAATATTATAGTCATTGTGTAGAAAATTGTACTAATTTTGCACACATCAGGGATAACTGGTAGGGGAATTTCAACCTATGCTTGGATCAGGGATATGGGAATCTTAAGTATATTGATGTATAAATGGTGTCCAAATGCAAAATAGAGGTTGTAGATACTTTGTAGATGTTGGATGATTTGCACATGATCTTGTCATAAATGAGATATAGCCTTGAATGTTCACTAAACAATCTCTACAAGTAGCAACACTAAGATGGTTTAGCGAGGACTATAATATTTTAGAACAATCTACAACTATGTGGGTTTACAAGTGAAGATTTTATTACTATCTGAATACAATACATTTGAAGGACAATTGTAAACAGGTATTTACATTGTGAGACATAAGTGATTTCAAGTTTGTAGAGTTGTAGTTATTTTTTTCAAATATATTATTAGGGCATAACGAATGCCATTTATGTTGTATTATAGTAGGCTGCTTGTATTTTAATAATGTATTACAATATGTCATTCACATAGTTTGACTTATTATTAATATGTCATTCACATAGTTTGACAGATTTTAATAATGTAACAAAATAATGTACTACATCACATAGTTTGACAGATTTTAATAATGTACCAAAATAATGTACTACATCACATAGTTTGACAGATTTTAATAATGTACCAAAATAATGTTCTACAATATGTCATTCACATAGTTTGATATATTTTCATTATGTACCAAAATAATGTACTATAATATGTCATTCACATAGTTTGACATATTTTCATAATGTACCAAAATAATGTACTACAATATGTCATTCGCATAGTTTGACATATTTTAATAATGCACCAAAATGTACCTGTTGTCCTTTATATCACTAGTAATCAGGGTTTGGTGTGAATGGGACATTTCTGGTGTTAATTGGTATGAAAAATAATTTTACTACCATCTAACACCAAGTCACACCATAAAACTGGTGTGACTTGGTATGAAAGGATTAAGAGATTAAACCCCTGCTACCTCACACTTAGTCACACCATACTGCTGGTGTGAGATGGTATGAAAATAAAATGTAATCCCTTTGACCTCTAGGAACAAAAATTAATACCAAGTCACACTGTAAGTTTGGTGTGAATCGGAAGTAAAACGTAAAACTTCATTTTCTTAATCCTTGATTGCATTTTAACATGTTTTGATCTCTTGATTGCCTTATACTTGGTGTTTTTGTTTTTATAGATTATTAGTACAGTGTTCCATTACAGGAGTAAAGTAATTTCATAATTAAATCCACTATGATTTATTTTAAAATGAAATAATTCTAAAATTAGTTTTATATTTATTGAATATGTTTGCATACTTTTGGGAGATACAGATAATCATCACAGTTGAAATTGTATTCCATACCTACTAAGGTTCTAGGTAAATAACGAGCGGGAATATATACTGTATCTAGGGATATATCACCGAGGAGCGGGGCGGGATGGATTGGATACAGTCTGTATCCATCCCGGTCCCGCTCCTAAACATTTTTTCCTCATTTTTTTCAAAATTTTTTTCAAAATTTATTTTCAACATTTTCAAATTTTTTTTTCAAATTATTTATTCAAGTTTCTCAAATTTTTGGAAAATCTCGCAATCTTTAAGAACAAGAAAACGTGTACCATATGTTTTGGGATTTTGGAACTTTGTAAGGTATGATGTACCTAAAACCTCAGTAGGTATGAAATACATCTGTTATGTACGGTCGGTTTTGAATACAGGATTTCCCTTGGGATAAACCCTGTATCCAAAACCTCCCAGTACATAACCCTTATGTATTCCTAAGTGGACAAATCAACAGAAGCATGCACTTATGTGTACTTAGTGAAATCATTTATTATTTTTATCGTAATAAATAATATGCTAGTCATGTACAACAAAGATAAAACAATATACATATAACTAAAATGTAATTTACAAACCAAACTCTATCTCCTTCAACAGCTACAGCTAAGGGTTTGCTCAAAAGAGACAAGTGATATATTTTGGTATCACATTTAATATTATGAGAATGAAAGAAGGAGTCTGTCTCTTCTGGCCGTGGAAATAAAGACACAATAGCCCAGGCATCCAATTTACTTTTGAATTTGTGAGTTACAATTTTCTCAATTAAACCAAATCTCATTTCAGTTTTAATTTTTATATATGCAGAAGAGTTCATTTTAGTTGTTGATGTATCTGGTTTATATATGATCCATTCATTATTATCACTTGATATTTTCCACTCTCTTACAGACTTACATACTGGGTCAATGTCACATAAATTTGGTTTCTCATTAGGGTAGAGGTTTCATAGAAATGTGCAATTGTTCTCCTACATGTATAGTCCTATTTTAACAAAGATAATGTCCTACATTTATCTGTAGATGGTGACATTGACATATACTCTGTCATAGTCTTGGGGGTTTCTGATGGAACTTTCTTGGTGACTTTAGCTGCCTGACCGCTTAATGCCATATTGGACACCCAATCGTAAACTGCATATGCTTCCATGATGGTTGCTTCTTGATGCTGTTTGTTCAGGGCCTGGTGTGCCACCCAACACTGAACTCTTTCAAATGGATAAGTCCATCGAGCATACATGGGGCCAGAGCGTTCTAAGTCCATTACCATATGATGGAATATATGGGTAGTAATGTTCTGTAGGGAAAGAGGCCAATCTTGTTCGAGCATGCACAAAGCTTCGCTTGTCTTTTCTGCCAACTGACTCCATGAATCTTTAGGGACTGAAGCTGCAGTCATTTCATCAATGCAATTGAATAATTGTTTTAGAGTGTCTATTTGAATATTTCCAATGAGGGCACGAATACAATAAATCAGAATATGTTCTTTAACAAATTGCGCTTTTGAGTGCATTTTTTTCAGGAGATGTGGCTTAGAGAATAAAGGTCCAGGTTTCAAATCCCATCCATGGGGAACAAGCAATGACATGGCCCTAATGTCTGCCTTCTTTAAATTGGACGTTGATAAAGTCCATGGAGATTGTGGCTGTGCGAGTTTTCTCCTTTTTGCTGGTGGTTCCTTTGTGTTATCGATCCATGTATTATTGAAGCGGCCAAACAATTTTTCAGCATTTCTGAGCTTCTCAGAATCAGTTTTTCCTGTAATCAAGTCCATTAAATGATGGACTAAATCCTGAATGGCATGAGCACCATCAGGGGAAATTTGCTGTAAGCCATCATAGTGCTGTTGTCTGGTTAGTACTGTTTGTCCTTTTAATCCTGTAGATTTGCTATATTTCTGCTTCTGGCTTTTATTTGGCAGTTTATCATATTTTTGTCGCATTTCAAGATCGATAGCTTTGGGATGAACTTTCTCAACTGTTTTCAATTCCACAGACTTTTGTCAGTGATTACCAATGATAAAACTGATACGCCAGTGATTACCAATAATGAGACTGATACGCCAGTGATTACCAATAATGAGACTGATACGCCAGTGATTACCAATAATGAGACTGATACGCCAGTGATTACCAATAATGAGACTGATACGCCAGTGATTAACAATAATGAGACTGATATGCCAGTTATTACCAATAATGAAACTGATATGCCAGTATTACCAATAATGAGACTGATACGCCAGTGATTACCAATAATGAGACTGATACACCAGTGATTACCAATGATGAAACTTCTATGCCAGTGATTACCAATGATGAAACTCATACGCCAATGATTACCAATAATGAGACTGATATGCCACTGATCTCCAATAATGAGACTGATACGCCAGTGATTACCAATAATGAGACTGATACGCCAGTGATATCCAATGATGAAACTGATACGCCAATAATTACCAATAATGAAACTGATACACCAATGATTACCAATAATGAGACTGATATGCCAGTGATCTCAAATGATGAAACTGATATGCCAGTGATACCAGTGAGTTACAAAAATGACAATGATGTAGTGTTTTCCAAGAACAGTTTTGTTGCCATTATTAAATCTTCCAAGGACTACTATGTGGGGAAAGTAGTTAATGTCAATGAAGATGAAAAGAAAGTCTCAATAGAATATTTTAAGAAAACTTGTGGGGTTCTCAAGCCATCCCAGATAGCACAACTCTGATGGGCCAACGTTGGCCAAACAATTACGTATCTGTTGGTCCAACATTGGCTGACGTGGTTGGCCCACCGTCGCTATGTCCATTGGCCCAACGTTGGCCCACCGAAGGAAAATATGGTTGGCCCAACGTTGGTCCATTGTTGGCCCATTGTTGGCCCGACATGATTTCAAGCTACGTTGGCTCATAGTTGGCCCACTGGTAGTAAGAAGACTGGCTGGCCCAACGTTAGTCAACAGTTGGTCCGACAATGTTACAAGGGATGTTGGCGCATTGGTGGTCAAAACTGGTTGGCCCACCGTTGGTCGACAGTTGGCCTGACAATGTTATGAAAAATGTTGGGGCAACAATTGTCAAGACTGGTTGGCCCAACGTTTGTCTACAGTTTGCCCAACGTTTGTCTACAGTTGGCCCGACAATGTTACGAAAGACGCTGGTGCTCTGGTGGTCAAGATGGGGTGGTTGGCCCAACGTTGGTCCACCAACAATATTACAAGAGACCATGGTAAATAATTTGGTACATGCACGTTCTGATAATGCTGATGTTGACTTTGGCCAAACAATTAATGGTACGTGATTGTAAATATAGGTTGGAATATGGTTTTTAGCAGTAAGTCTTCTTTGTTCATTTGACAACATAATGATGGACCACTTTATTGCAAAATATTAGAGTCTATTATTCACAATGTTGGCCAGGTGAAACAGTCCAAAGATTCTCATTCATCACTGTCCGACCCACTGCCAATTGCTTTAGGCCTATTGTTAGTTTTTGCTTCTTCCTTTTCTGCAAATAAAGATGGTTACTAGTGAGTCCAACTTAGAATCATATGTAAGGCTTGGTAGTGAGAGTTATTGGGCTACAAAATAGGATAAAATTAGCTTTTTTCGGATTATTTAAATAGTATGCAGTTTTTGGATAATTCAACCAGCCATTCTAGAATAAAGACCCTGGGACTGAAAATTTTGCAGATTTCAGAAGACAAGCAATTTGATTGGTGAATGTAAAAGAACACATGCATATCTTTCTTCAATAAAGCCCTCCTTTTCCGCCCACCATCCCTGTCACTAGCATACTTAAGCCAGGGCTTAATATAGGACTCACATTCGAACACTTTGCTGCATCTGGAATGGTAATGTTAAATAAAACTGATACACTTGATACTTTTTTGCTTTGCAGAATGGCATGACAAATGACAATAATACTTTTACAAGTAAAGACTCGGTATACTAATCTCAGCTTTTTGGACATGACCATAAAATATCTTACTACAATGTTCGATTTGTTGTAATTTAGATCTACACGTGCAACTGACAACAATTGAAAATTGAAAAAATTGGCTACCTTTAATAACTTGGGCAGTCATGGTTTTCCCCAAACCGCGTTTGCTTCCCTTCCAACCCCAGTTGAATAGTACAGCCAGTGGAGTAGTAAATAGTGATGCCAGAATCCTTTCCACGACATCTTTTGGGGTCACACTGATTGACTATTGGTTTCGGCTGGAGTTGAAGGAACCATGCTACCTGCATTTTTAACAGCCCGTCTACGGATTGTTCTGTCGCAAACTATATCCCTTGTTTTTCTCTCCATATCTTCTCTGAAGTTTAATTTTTCAAAAAATGTGTTTTTGGAATGAAAGATTACATCTATTGGACAATGTGACATACATACATATAGCTAACTGTGTATCTGATGACAATTAAAAACTTTCTTAATGATGATAGGCTGCACAACTGACCTAACATTGGGCCAACGGTGGCCCAACTCCAACATCCAACAGCGGTCAAAACCAGTGTAATATCATCTGATATTATGACAAATAGATAAAATTACACTCGTATTCTGACAATTTAAAGCTAGGCAGGGCAATAGATCTTCGGACTATAGGCTACTTACATTTATTCATTATGGTGAGTCACGATGATTTGCATATTTTTGAATTTTCTTGTTTTGAAGGTGAAGAAAAACTCATTTATCGCAATACTAAGCATCACTGGTCAATAAACGTATATACTTTGTAATAATGAGTATAAACATACCTTAGATTCAGTTGTACAATCTCTAAATTCGTGCTCTTAATGCTATAAAACGTGGAACTATGACAGCGGTTATAATTGAATCACTACCGGAAATAAGGAAAGAAGCAAGACGCATGCGTAGAAAGATATTGACGCGCTATTTAATAGTTGTTGGACCAACGTGGGCCCGACTGCGATGTTGTAAAGATTAAAATGTGCTCTACGAGACGTGCGTTATTTCACACCTCAGGTGTGTTATAAATATGTCATATTTAGTAGTGACAGTGTGTGCTTGCATGTTTTTTTCACTCATGAACGACTCGCACTTAGGCCTCGACCTACAATGTAAAAAAAATCGCTTTGACCAAGCATCAAATTTTTTCTGGCTAGGTCGTAACCCCAAATATCTCTGTTACATGAACCCAGTACCCATTTAGTTTTTTCCTGCAGTGACAGTTGCAGGAAATATGAGAATATTTCACTATTACAAGCATTTTTAAAGTCAAGCATGAGTTCATGTCTAATAAAGCGGTCGGCTGGACATTCAAACAGTCTATGATCAATTGTATCGCGGTAGTTGAAATCACAAAGTACAAATATCTTTGCATTTGCCTTGTCTACTTAAATCAACATTAGTGCTAAAACAGCCACTATGAGCCTTAAATTTAATCTTCTGGCCATAAAAGTCAGAGGTGGAGCACAAATAGTCCTCCCTGCCTTAGTGCACTAGGCTGAATGTCACGATAAGTTGTCAAAGATGATTTCTCACTTATTGCCTTCAAGAATTTGTTCTGATGCTCTTCCTTAGATATTGAGAGAAAGGATGAATACCAGTCTCTATCATTCCTTAAAATGACACCATCGTACCCATTCTTTGTGAAAATTGACTGAATATAAGAGAAAAATTTAAATTCCGAGCACTTTTAATGCAGGAATTGTTGGTCCCCCCTCCCTTGGAAAAATTTGGCTATGGTATTACCGGAAACAAATATAACTAGACATGTAAATTGAACAAGTTCAATTTAAGACTCCAGATTTCAGACTTTTTTTAAGCTGAGTCATCCAAATACTTGTAAGCTGATCATTCAGAATAAGCTGAGTCAGCTAGAATATAGACATTTAGACAACTCTTAAGAATGTTATCTTCGACTCCATTGGCTTAACATGGGGATATCATCATATCGACTTTTCGAGACTTCAAACTGCTATAACTATCTAATCAGAAGTTGGATCGAAATTTGGTTTAAAGATTCTGATTCCTGAGAAAATTCTACCCTTAATTCATAACTCATACGTTAAATTTGGAGAACTTTTTATTTTGACTACTTTTCAGACACCATATCTCAAAAGTGGGTCAAAATACTTTCTGACGGCAGAAGGCTAACACTATAAGCACACTCTTTGCTACCTGTATACAAAATTTCGAAGCAAATCATTAAAGTGTAATGTCAGACTTGCAAAAATAAGGAAAAACAATGAATTTGACCTAGATTTTGACCTAGGCATTTTGATGTCCAAATTTTAAAGCTAGATAGCCTTCTAGGTCCCCTCCTTTTATAGGCTTTCAGAATGTTAAGCTGTACTCAGTTTATATCTGGTATTTTACACTTCAAAAAAATGATCTTTTTTCTCATTAACGTAACATGGGGCACCAAATTTAGCAATTTTTGAGCTTTCAAAATGTCATAACTTACGAACCGGAAGTTGGATTGAAATTTGGTTTGCAGATTTCTTATTCCTGAGAAAATTTCAGTCTTAATTCATAACTCATACGTTAAATTCGGAGAATTTTTTATTTTGACCTACTTTTCGGACACCATATCTCAAAAGTGGATCAAAATACTTCCTGACGGCAAAAGGCTAACACTATTAGCACAGTCTTGGCTACATGTATACAAAATTTCGAAGAATATAATTCAAGTGTAGTGTCTGAATCGCAAAAATAAGGAAAAACTTTGAATTTGACCTAGATTTTGACCTAGGCATTTTGGTGTCCAAATTTTTATGAAAAGAAGGTTTTGAGGTCCCTTTCTTTTATGGGCTTCCATTATGTTTAGCTGTGCTTAGTCTATATCTCGTATTTTACACTTCAAAAAAATATGTTTTCCCATTGAATTAACATCGGGCACCAAATTTAGCGATTTTTGAATTTTCAAAACGCCATAACTTCTGAACCGGAAGTCAAATCGAAATTTGGTTTTCAGATTCTGAATCCTGAGAAAATTTCCTATAACACTGATATCCTGGACATTGGATTCGGAGAACTTTTTTTGGACCTCGTTTTCGGACACTGATATCTCAAATCGGTTTGAGATACCAAAAAACTAAATCGACCTTAGCTTTTCTACTTTTTTATGAGGAACACAATGAAAAAAAAACGGATCGAAAATATTGAAGGACGACTGAGAAAATCGAAGAAAGTGACAAAGTACTGGATTTGACCTAGTTCTTGACCTATGACCTAAATAAAAATTTGACCTAATTTCCCAGAAAGCCAGATACATTCCCTAGTCAACCATGTAGGTTGGATTAAGTAAGATGTTATAGTTGGAGAGAAAATCTGTTAGGAGGAAGAAAGAAAGAAAGAAAGAAAAAAGAAAACAGGCAAAAACAATAGACTCCAGATTTTCAATCTGGAGTCTAATAATACTAATCAGGCACCAGGGCTCTGATTGAACAACCAAGTGAGAGCTTTTTCAATAATAAAATATATAAAACATTGAAAAATATATCTTTTCACTCTTAACATCAGAATTTAAAATGTCACTGACTTTGAATTAAATTCTCTTGTTTTTCTGCATTCGAAACAAGATTCAATTAACACAATAAAGCACAGTTATTGATACAATCACACTCACCTTTCATCCCGAGCTTACATGTAGAAGTGTCAATTCAAATATGAGTATATTAAACTATAATACCCAATGTATTGTAACATTCAGCCTAATTATGGTAGTGTGGATGTTGTTTAATAGACTGTGTCACTGTG